AGTTAATTATCATATTTTGATGGATAAACAAAAGAACTTTAATTTTGTCATCACTTTAGAGCAATAATTATTTCTACATGATTTATAGTTTGCACATATGAGTATACTCTATTGAGAATTCTAATGCGCTTTTCTGTTTCACAGGAGTGATTTTTTGAGTTCGAATAGATACTTGTGTGGAGATGACCGCATTCGACGTAGAGTCATTCTGATGAGAGAACGTTTTCAGTTGATTAATCGCTTTTGAAATTGAACTCTGTGCATAAAGGAGATTCTATTGAGACGAGAAAAACTGCAAAGGATAAGTTCTCTTAGGCCTTTTTTCAGAGATCCAAGAATTTCAACTTCTGGCTTGATATATACTAACATGTCGAATGAAGGAATTTCGACCTGAGATTTTGCTCGCATATAAATCTATTTGTTAGTAAAATGCTTCGAAGATTTCACATACAAATAGACCTATGTATAAGAAAAAACTCATTTCGGAATATCGCCATCTGATCCTGTCGATATATGCCAAGTTAGAAGCTAAAATTTCAGTAAAATGTCTATAACTCTAGACAGAAGTCCTAAGAGGATTTATCCTTTGGAGTTTTTTCCATATCTAACTACAGTCTATTTGGTATGGTTAACTTCTAACAAGATTTCATTAGCTAATGTTTATAGATAACCTTAAGATTAGTTAAAGTTTTTGAGTAACTTTAAATGATCAAACTTGCTAGCGAAATCAGTGTGGAATGTAAATGTGAAACATAATGTAGCTGTTGTTGGTAATTACAAAATTTCTACTTCTATGCTTCAACACTCCTTTTAGATCGTGTTTTATAAAAGCATGAAAATAAATAAGATAGACCGGTCATCGGTTCCTTGTCTCGATTATATATTTCAAATAATCAATCCGATTTCTGAAATAATGTCGCTTTTCAGACTTCTATTATGCTCGACAAAACATTACTGTAATAGAAAAAATTTACAAAAGTGTATTTTTTTTTTGTTCTTTATCTTCTTTATATATTACTAATATTGAAATAATATAATTAATTTTGATTGTTTTACTTATTATTTTTCTTAGTGAAAGTGAAATAATTTATATTCGTCTTTGTGGTTTATCATGTTTATTAAAATTAATTTGTCATCCATATTTTTATACACGTATAAAACCTGATGATTTTCTTATGATAATGACATTACTTCGTGTAAGTATATTTTAACATTATTTATTTATTTACTTCATGTTTTTTGTTTATATATATATATTAGGATCCATCATCAACTATTCGTCAACGAACATATCGTAAATTAGCTGAACAATTACGTGATCCTGTATGTCCTATTGAATTACTTGCTTTATTAGCGTTTGCTGCTAAAGAACCTGAACGTGAACATCGTGAACAAATTCGTCGTTCAATGTTACAAATAATTGATACACGTCGTGAACATATTAAACTTCAATTATCATATAAAACAACTTCGATAACAAATGGTCATAAAAAAACAAATGGTTTTGATGATGATGATGATGATGATGACGATGACGAAGATAATAATAATAATAATGATGATGATAATAATAGTTCATCAACAATAGATGAAAAACCAATTGATTATACATTATATCCTGAATATTCTTTAACATATTTTCTTTATTTTCTATCAAAATCACCAGCATTTATCTTATATGATGATATTGAAATGTTACATACAATGACAGATTATATTCTTTTTCTCTTAGATGCTTTATTATTACGTTGTGATACAACAGTTGGTTTATTTTATAAAGGTTTATTACGTTCAATAAAATCATCTGAAGATGCAACAATATCACCAGATAAAGAAGAAAAAGCTGAAAGAAAAGATGCATTAAAAAAATTACATGTACTTGTTGATTTAGCTTATGTTATACTTTCCCAACGTGCATCATCATTAATGATATGTCGTGCTAGTTCAAATGTTCCATTACCAGATGTGTATTTTAAAAAAACACGTTATAATCATTTTTCATATTTACCTAAAGATTTTAAAATAAAACTTAAACCAATAACAATAACAACAGTTAGTAATGATACAATGACACCAACTACTAAACGTACAAATATAAATAATTCAACTGATACAAATATGAATACAACAGCATCGAGTATAACTATTGTAACAACACCATCAAAATCTATTAAACAAAAACGAACAAGTCGAGATAATGAAGATGATAAATCAACGAAAAAAAAACGAACTTTACCAACTATAAAAAAACGTAAACATCAAACTAGCAACGGTGAAACTAAATCAAGTAAGTAAACATAAAGGATTTCATTTTATATAACGAAATTATTTTCTAATTAATAATACACGTAAAACAAAACAATCAATTATATTGTTTATGTTTACAAATGTCTTCTTTTACAATACAATATTCATAAAGAATATTATGTAGATATATTATGTAATAACAAAAAATTGAATAGTTTTCAGAGAGATAGATGGAAATATCAGTTTCTTTTTTTTGGTTCATGATGATACAATCGATTTTTGCATTCAATAACTATTCTACGTTTTGTTATTCACTATTGCTAAGCATGCATCGAAACAAGGACAGATCGGAATCAATGTTTTATTTAGCTTATCATTTTTCGGAGACGGATAATTTAAAAGTTTGTAACGATGAACATCTGTTTTTGGGAGTACAATGACAGTAAGTAATACAATACTCACAAACTTCGAGACGGTCAACTCGATCTTTGAAAGAGCACTGCCTTCTCGGCGTTTCACGCTGGATATAGCTATTTCTAGTTTTCGATATTAATGAAATTTACTCTTGTTTTTTTTTCATTCACTGATAAAGAAACCTTCTCAAATACGTCCTTTCGATTTCAATGATTTTCTTGACTATAGATATATGCAAAGTTTCAGATCAAAAATTCGAAATACGAGTTTTTCGAAAATCTAGGATCTCTACAAAAATAGACATATTAAAAATTCGATAACCTATTCAAATATCAATACGAACTCAAATCTTTTTAGAGTTTTTATTGAAATACTATGTAGTATCTGTAGTCAAAAAAATCATTGAAATTGAAAGAGAACATCCAAGTAAGTTCTCATTAGTTAATGATTTACTGTTCAAAATACAATAATAAAAAACCCTATATTCTTAAACATCCTTTATGATTGGTCTTCAAGTTCAAATGAACAAACAAATATTTCTCTCGTATTTAAACATTTCTTTTAAATCATAGTTCGTCTCATTCGTGTAAATCTTAAATTGTAAACAAAACTCGTTAAAGTTAATTTCAAAGAATTCTTATTTTACAAAAAAAAAATCAAATCCTTCAAAGACCGCATACAAGATAATCTTAATTTTAGTTATAAAAAAGAAAGAATGTAACATTACAGTTTGTAACGACAAAAAAAATGCCACTCAATAAAAAAAAACCATCAGGTAAAGTGTTTTATAAGCTCTAGACCTCGATAGAAATTATTTTCAATCACTCAACTTATATGAACATTCAACTAGACCAATGTCATATTTAAATATCATATCGATGAGATGTATAATCATATAATTGTTTCTTTTTGTACACTCATATAATCATTTTATCATTCACATTTATTAGTCAAACTGTATATTAAATAAACACTTTTTCATCTTAACAAAAATCGGAATCATTTTCGAACTGCATCAGTTTTATCATTATAATAAAGAGAAAAAAAAAGAATATATTGAATTGTTGATTATCCAATATGGTACCATTCATCTATCCACAAGGACAATATTTGCAACTTAAACAAACAAAAAAAAAAACGAGAGAAAGACTATTTAAATGAACATACATAATCATTTATTCCTATAAAATATTTGGATTTATTTTAATCCTGATTAGACTATAATCTTTCGTGATGCATTAGTTGTTAATCAATATTAATTAATGACTAAATCGAAATTCTTTTACTATAAGAAAAAAATTAGCTAAAAGAATTTATAATTAACAGAATTAAAAATATATAAATGTATTGTTATTTTTTTTGTCTAATTTAGATTCATCAACAGTTAATGGTAATAGCATTGGAAAGACTTCAACAAATAATTCAAATCGATCACGTATAAATTTTCCATATGAAAAACCTCAATTACGTTCATCATCCTCATCATCATCATCGCCATCACCTAAAACAAATCGTCGTACAACAACAACAAAAGAAAAAATTTCATCATGATTAAAGTTAAATAAACAAACAGAATATATATAAATATTTTCTTTTTCTTTTTTGTTTCGGCTATGTGTTTTTGTTTGTTTACAACAATACAATGTGTAGATATACATATATATCTTATAGATAGAGAAAGATTAACAACGAAAAATAAAAAAAATTAAATAATATTGTTTGTTTTGCTGTATGTTATTATATACAAGCAAAGAAAAATATATAGTGTATAGAATTATATATATGCATACTATAAATGTATGTGTATTTTTCTTCTTCTCTTTTTTTGCTGTGTGAAATGTATTTTCTTTTTTTCTCATTGATCTTGTATAACACATATTCTTGATGTTACAAACATAAACTATATCTATATGTCCTCACTTCACTTATATGTAAGTTTATCTTAAAAGATGATTTCGAAAAAGAATCAAAAAGTGCATCTCATAAACTGGCAAGTATATGTGATTCAATCGGTTTATGAGCACGTGTGCCTGCGGCTTTATGACAAGTACTATATACGTTGCTTATTTACTTATGCAAGCAAGGTGTGATCTGATTCATTTTTTTCCGGCATAACTGACTGGTGCATTCTGTTCTTTTGCATACACAATCATAATTCAAAATCAAGAGAAAAAAGAAAAAAATTCTTTTTTTTCTCTCTGTACAGTTTTGATCGTTACGAAAAAAAAACGACAGTAGTTAATGATGATTTTTTTCAATTTGATATTCTATTTATATGTACTGCACATGAAGACAAGAACAGCTGTCAATAATATTTAAATAGATTTGCAACATCGATAATGACTAGTAACAGGTAGTGTATATTAAATGCTTGTTTGACTGTCCGACAAATGAACTACGTAGATAGACAAACATGTGTATGCACATGTTCTTATCTTGAGTTGATGATGATGATCGGGCAGTATATAGTCTAGGTTTATTTGTAAAATGTCTTTTCCCGTACGCCCTTTCTTTTTTTTTTTTATATTCTTTTTTTTTTAATCAATACATATATATGGACAAGGTCGATTGATAGATAGAGAGGAATAGATCAAATTATTGTTCTTCTTCGTCAGTTTTTTTTTCTTTTTACTTGATGACTTTTTCAATGATTTCAATAAGATGAAGATTATAAATGATTGAAGGAGGAGAATGTTTATGTTTTGATCAATATCAATAAGATGTATTATTTACAATTAAATGAGTGAGATAGAAAAAAAAAAAAGAATTTTGAAACTTTTTGTTTTGTTTTCTAATTGATAATTTAAACAATAAGCACTTTCTTTTCTTTTTTAAAATCTTTTCAAGGACAAATCTTGTGGAAAGATCAGGTATTTTACATATTTATTATGCCAATAAAACCTTCAAACATTGGAAAAAACGATGGCTTCATTTACAAGATCAACAATTGTCTATATATCAAGGTAAAACAAAAAAAAAAATTTTTCTTTGTTTATATATTTATTTTATACATTATTACTAAAACAAAAAAATTGTAAACCATTTTCTTCTTCTTTCGAAAGATTCACGTTATAAACGTCTTGAAAATACAATTAATATTAAAAATTATCGTGTATCAATTACAAATCCAATTGATTCAATATCACATAAAGGATATACTTTTAAAGTAACCAAAAAACCTTATTGTCTTAAAAATTGAAAAAAAAATTGTCTTTTTTTTTTTTTATTGTTTAGATCTATGATTCAAATTCAACAAATGAAAAACCAATTTACTTTTCAGCTGAGAGTAAACAATTAATGACACAATGGATTAATGCTTTACGTCTTTCAGCTTCAATTGCTAACGATCTTCTTGTTGAGTAAATATAATCTTATATATTTATATATACTCTTTCAATATCCATCAATTATTAGACCTAATTTTGCTACTGATTTGCATCCAATTGATACAGACAGTGAATCAGATTATAATGACTCGATGAATATTAACAATTCAAGATCACTACATAAGTAAGGGAAATTTTATTCAAAAAAAAAAAAACAAACGTCATTTTAAAAGAGAGCAGTTCTGTTTCTCTTTTCCCTCTGTCTCTCTTTCCCTCCGTTTTTATTCATTTACATCTAGTAAACGAAGCTGATTAACAACGATCAAGAAAAAAAACTAACCACAAAAAAAAGGCAATTTGCATCTCAATTGCGACGTGAAGCACTGTTTATGCTGCTCCATGAATGATTGTAGTCGCATATATACATATTCACATACAGTTGCTCTTCACATAATGTCTACTCGGTATTCTTTAGTGCAGCCATCTAATATTATCAATTTTCAATTGTGTACCGGCGGTGACGACGGACGCGTGCACATGAGTCTCTACATTGAAAAGCATTCAACAGTGTTTTTGTAATTTTTTTTTCATATAGATCGATGGATGGATGGATGAACGTACTGTCTCATGTTCATGTTATGTTGTATGCTTTGATGTATATAATGCATAGTGAGGAGTTTACTTTAAAATAATAGTAACGCTAGTCAAAGTAATATAAAGAAGAAGAGAAGAAGAAAATTTGTTTTTTCTTTGTTCATATACATACCTTTTAATATCGATAAGACAGTTGGAGAAATATGAGCTGTTAGAAGGGAGCTACCACAGTTTCGACTGAGCGCAAAAGAGGATTTATTTCTATTTTTTTTTTTTTTTTTTTTTTGAGATGCAATAAGAGTGCATAGGTCAAGACAAAAAGAACATTGAATGCCATCCATCTACATTGACTGGCGAGTAATAGCAAGATAGTAGTAATGTTAAGAGTCATTATAACGGCAAGTATAAAAGAGAAAGGAGAAGTAGATAACGGAATAGGAGTTTATATGTTAGGTACAACTACAAGTACTCTCATCATCAAAGAAAATGAAAAATTTAAGACAAGCTTTATGTGTCAAGTAAGTTTTATTGATTGAGGACTTCGTGCATTTCTTTTTCTAATACATATCCATGTGCCCTTGTTATTTCATACATGTTGTTACATCGACCTTGTTTAAGATTAGTGTCTCTAGTTTAACTATCACAGCAGTGACTGAATATATATGTATATATATATATACGCACGCGTTTAGATGACCTATATGATCATAGGAAGTGTCTGAGGTCCGATTAAGATTTGAGTCAACATTGCCATTACTATCATGCATGCTGCGTATTAGATGATCTTTTTTTTTATGCAATAGATCATCATCATCACTCCCATGTGAAACTTTATTTCTATCACACATGTGCATATTGCTCTTTTTAGTTTCTTTTTTTTTTCTTGTGTCTCTGTTTTTTTTTTTTCGTCTTCAGTTTACAATACTTTTAATTAGATGACAAGCAAGCCTCATGTTTGAGAGAAAAAAACGAAAAAAAAGACGAACGCTTATTACATACTATTACTCTTGTCGCCGACACCTCTACGCCTCCGTATCCTCTATACTTTTTTTTGACAGCTTTTAAAGTGTCGTATATGAAAATAAGTGAACGAGCTCGTCAATCATCAATTATCGATTTGTATATGTATATATATGTATGTCTATGAGTGAAAATGACCTGCTTACTGAGTGATATAGCCTTGTAAAGTTTGAAAACAAGTCGAAGAACGATGATGATAATAATCATAATAATGACGAGTTTTGAACGTCTCCTTTCTTCAGTCATTCAATTATTTATTCTATAATAGACTCTTGTGATGCAATATTGAGACGATAGTCAGTCAGTGCATACATAGTTCTATTTATGTACATTTGCGTTCGGTCTCTTTCTTCATTCAAATTCAGTTTCATTCAGTACGTGAGCGTACGAGAAATAAAGGAACATAGGGAGAGAGGGGGAGAGAGAGAGACAGCAGCCTATATACTACTGCTTTGTCTATGTGTCAATTTGTGTAATCGAATATAGAACTGAAGTTCTCTTTTCTCTTTTTTTTTTCGCAATTTTTTTTCTGACTATACCGTCCTATTGCTCTGTTCTTCCGTTCGGTATAAACGGTAGCTGCACCACAGCCATCGTCGTCTCACCCTTCTCTGTAGTCAATCTGTTTTATTCATTCATTCATTCGAATATGAAAATTTACTCTTCAATATTTAATGTCGATAACGACGCAACATCAAGACAAATACGAAAAGAATTTTATATTCTTATTTAATCATAAAAAATGACAGAAACAAGGTATACTCGAATAATATTGAAAAAGAATAAATCAATTTTCTTTTTGTTTTTGAAACATAACATTAAACGATTATTATTATTTTTTTCTTTTTCAATTTTTGACTATTCTATAGATCATATAAACCATTAATGCCTGTTGCAACAACAACAACAACAACAACAACTTTAAATGATCAAAATCGATATTTAGGTTCCTATGAAGAGGAGGAGGATATTGAAGATAGTCGTTGGTATCGTCCACGTTCGTCATCACCACCATATCCATTGAATGTTAGTAATGGTGTTATTCATCAACCATCGTCAACAACAATGGGTTCATGGGGCTTTGACGTTAATCGTTCAACAAACGGACATATACCGTCATCATCATTTACATCAAACAATAATGATAACAACAATGATCATCGTACAATTACGAGGATACCAAGACGATTAGATGAACCGATAGAAGATTTTAACGAACGTCTTGTAAATAGATCACCTCCTCCTCTTCAACGTTTTAAATTACGCACACCTACATTGACTAGACATCGTGACGGAAACGAATTTACTGTTGTTGATCGTCTCGTTCTTGGGCCAAGTCGTGTTGTACAATCTGATTATTATCCATCTGATGAATCACCTGCTCAGCAATATATGCCACCATCAACTCGATCTCGACAATCATCAACACGATCAATATTACGTCGACGATCAAAATCTATTGGTGATTTTACTACACCAACAACTAATACATCTTCTTCTCCTTCTCTTCCTACTCCTCATCTTACACAATCTTATCATCAATATCAATACCATGAACGACCTCGAACAAGTCCAAATAGTCATCATCGAACATATACAGAACATGAATTGATGGCTTGGCAAAATCGTATGTTAGAAAGGTTTGTTTCAAATAAAATTTAATTTGATTTATTACATATTTAAAATAATAATAATAAAAAAAAAACGAGTCAAGATAACATAATGATTTAAGAGTGAACATATTCATTGTTAACAATCTGAACAATATTTCAATCGTGTATTTTTTTCTTATAGAGATCATCGTATTGGAAATAGTCTGATAACTCGTCCACCTTCATCAAATACTGGCTGGGTTCAATCACCGCGAATGAGTAGTAAACGAGGCGGAGTAAGTTTTTCTTTCTCTCTCTCTCTCTCTCTCTTTCTTGATGATTAACGTATATATATATGTCTTTATTCATTTCTCTTTATACTTTTCTGGGTCACAAGAAAAATGAGATCATGTTCTTTGTATGTTTAATCAGATCGGGACATCGTTCTAAACATTTGTATGTGTAATGAGAAGAAAACTGGGTATCATTTCTCTTCATCTCCTTTTTTTTTCAAATGAATATGTATACTAATTTGTATTGAAGTTGATGATCAGTATAAATACATATATGAGGGTCATCTGGTCAATATTGATCTCTGTATTAATTGTTTTTTTTTCCTATGATATACATTTCATTCTCCCTTTTAGTTCAATACTTCTCAATCACCAAATCGTCAAATGCGTAAGGATTGAAAAAAATTTGATTAAAATAATTAAACAAAAAAAAACATAAAATTATCTTTCAGCTATATCAACTCGACCGATATCTGCTATGTCAAACATGAGTGGTAGTCAACGTTTTGAACATGATCATGTAATAGAAGAAATTCTTTAATGTAAATTTAAATAAATAACTTTGTTTTTGTTTTTAATATGATGAATTAGTATGAACCAATAGTGAAATTATCAAAAGTTATTAAAAGATATATTGAATTACTTTATCATTTACAAACATTTTATGAAAAAATTACAGATCAATTATATGGTGGAAATGTATTTTTAAGAAACAAGTATTATGTTCTTTTTTTTATAGATTATTTTTATTGGTTTTTGTTTTTTCTATTACGTTTAGTTCACCAGCACAACAATCGGTATTTATTCATCATTGTCGAAAAATTGCTGAACAATTACAACGTTCAAAACCTATATGGGATCGAAAAGTATTCAATATTCTCTATTGTTTATATAAGAAAAAACGAAAACAAAGTTTTTTCTTTATGTTTTATAGATTGTTGTTCTTCAACATTTACTTAAAGATATTTCTTCTCATGAATGGTCAATAGTAAAAAGTGAGGTTTGTAGAAAATTAAAAAAAAACATTTAAAATAAAACTTATTATTCCATATATATGATTAGACAACATTTCTACAACGTCGTTCAACTTTACTTAATTTAATTCAAACATTAAACTCACGTAAAGATCTTAGCGATACTCACTTATCTATTCTTGTAAATAATTTTTTCTATGTTTTGTAATTATTTGACTTTGTTTTTTTCTTTCTATAGAATGATATCGATCATGTATTACATGAAGATAAATTAGGTAAATTCGAAATTTTATTTCAAATAATTTATTTAAACTTTTTATATTAGCTGTTCAACTTCAAGATGAATTATCAACATTACTTCAACATCAGGTATGTTATTAAAAGAAATTCGTTTTTTTATTCTTTTGTGAAGCATGATCTAAAAGAAGTGTTGAAGTGTAACGGTAAACATTTGGACCTCTTTAGACCATGACAGACGCCTTATGAGAGAAATATTCGGACTGATAAATTGCTATTGGGTTGAGATTATTTGCATTATGAAGAGTAGAAATGAACTGTGAATATCCTGAAAAGAGTTCGTACCCTTAGGTTATTAATGCAGAGATACTGCACTTCTAAGATAATCTTTTAATGAATATCGTGATGACAGAAAAACCGATTTTCAAGTTGAAATTTTGTACAGAGATAAACCCTAATGTGAATAGTTTTTTGTGAAAGTTTCAGATTTTTATGTTGTTCCTATCTTAAGGTACAGCTAAGGCAAAAGAGTATCTTTTACATCAGCAGACTCGGTGTTCTTCTTTCGGGATAGAAGTAAATCAAAACATCTGAAACTATTCTTGTTAAGACCTATCTTTGTAGAAAGTTTCGAGTCGAAATTAGAAATCCCTAGCTCATTTATCTCTATATAATGCATATAGTCTTGATTTAAAAATGATTTATCATTGGGGGACTTTCCATTATAGCACCACTCCCGCGTCACAGACCGTATGTGTCAAGAAAGTTCTTGTTCTTACTTTCTTATTGCATATCTGGAAGACTAAGTAAAAAGCTTGTGAAGAAATGTGTTCCAAAATAGATAAAGTAAACCATGCTAACAGCTTTTTTTGTCTAATATTAGTCATTATTACATGATTTTACGTCATTACTTCAATGGAATCGTCAAATATATTCTACAAATGAACAAAGTCGAGTAGAAAATATTTTACCATTATTACGTGAACAAATAACTACAACTGATGGTTATGTATCACATGTTAGCCAAGTAAGATAAAAACGAATTAATTTTATTTTTTATAACATTAAAACTTATATTTATTATTAAAATAGCAATTAACAGAATTAGTTGCAAATTTACGTTCATTAGAAAAATATATATTATCTTATATGAATACAATTCCATTACTTGATGATGGTAAAAAAGAAACAAAAAACTTTTATATTAAAGTTTTTTTTCTATTGAAAATAATTAATATAATTAGGAATAGTAATACCACAAAATCGTAATAATTGGCGTTCATATAATGAAACTGATATCGATACAATGAAAACAAGAAATCAATTTGAACGAACAAAAGTATTAAAAAATTTCAATTATTTTCAATTAATTTTCACATAATAAATATTTAGGATGAATATCAGCGTTCATCACGTTATCATTCACGTCCGTTAAGTGTGCATACACCTACCAACCAACAGTATCATAGAAGTAAATATGTCAGATTGATTCATTTTTTTTGTATTACATTTCATATTTCATTTAGGTACTAGTCCGAATTATCGTAATCATAATTATGTAAATGAAAATCATGAATGGTATCGTCGAAGTCCAAGTCCAACAAGTACATATAAATATTCATAAAAACACATACACACACAGAATATTTTTAGAAACAAGGTCCATATCAATGACTCGTTATATAGATTCATCAGAACCAGTTCGTGGTCCATCAACAGATGATTTCGTAAGTTATAATTATTTAAAAACAAACAGAAAAATCTTTTTTTTTTCTTTTACTTCATTTATGAAGGATCGTGATAGATTACGAACATCAACAAAATGGTCATCAAATAGAAACCATAATCACTTAAATACAAATAATAGTAATAATAATACAACAACAACACGTATTGCAACAGTTAAATCTGTTAGACGTGAAAATGGAATTATACCAAATGTAAATATCTTTAGGATGAAAACAAACAAAAAAATATTTTACGTTTTTTTTCTTCTTATGTTTTTAAATTTAGAGTATCCTTAAACCATATCCACATACGCGTACAACGATTGAAACTAAAAAAGATTTTGATATTGATACAATTGATAAAGAAGTATGAATAAAAATGAATCATTTAAATTATTAATAAAGATGTTTTTCTTTTAAAATAAGATATTTAAACCAGATAAAGTTGATATACCTGATCGATTAGTTGATTTTGATAACGATGATCAGATGTTAACACCACATGAACGTTTAGCAAAAATGAAGAAAAAAGAAGAAGTACGAAAAATGCTTTCAAAACAAAGGTAAAAGAAAAACAAAAGAAGATTTAAAATTATTTGTTTTGTTTTATTTTATTTTTCCCATAATTAGTATGCCAGATATGAATGAACATGATTTTAATGATGGAGATGTTCATTCATTCCATAGTCAACGACGAATAGAAAGAGAACGTGAAAAAGTATGTTATTAATAAATACATCATTTCATGGAACTTGAAACTAAGACTTAGTTAGATTTAGGAAGTGACATAAGTTATCAGCCCTCAAGATCGCCATGATTGAAGAGTTGGTCCGATGACTCAATAGACTGGATTAGAAGATTTTGGCTAACGTTGAGTGTTTTGTTTTTTGGCATTGATGAGTACAAAAGAAATAAAATGCTGAAGTTCTGTTAGAGAAAAACGCAAATTCTACACGATTGGAAGGATCATTCATTTGGGAAACTCCTGAACCGTGTATATTTTTCGCATTGCAGACGAACATATAACTTTCGTTCTCGCAGAACGGGTTTATTTTGCTCGAAAGTGATTGGATATTACTCAAAAATACGTTGTGTGATATATAATTCGATATAGTTTCGCGCACTGATTCCCAATATGTCATTGTTGCAGTTTAAGTCAACTCAATATTCTACGTTTATTCTTGATGATAGATGATATTTTTTAAAGATTGCTTTTATTTGCATTTTCACGTAGAGTTATAATTGAGTTAGAATGTGTCTCAATAGACAAGAAGAATGAATAGACAACAGGAATGGAGCTGAGTAATAATGCAATTAAACTTGATATCATTCATTAAACGAACACAAGAAGCGTATGTTTCTGACCGCCTTTAGTAATGTTTTCAGTTTTACCCAGTTCTGTCTCTTTTGATTCTCTATTTAGTGAAAAAGTTTGGAATTTCATCATCTTACTTGAGAAGAACTAAATATGTGATCAAGGCCAGTGTGAGAAAAAACGAAGAATTTCTCACACATATTGTAAAGTTGCATTCATAAATTTAGTGAAAACATTCAATAAGTCTATTCTGTTCTCTCAAAAGCCTACAGGCCAGGACAAGTTACACTCCAAGTAATTCCTCATGGTCTGGTCAGGCCGAAAACAGTAATCTCTTAGCAGTTCTGTTTGGCATTAGTAAAAAACATGTTTATACCAGCAGTACACAATATGTCTTGAAGTATATTTACCAGTATTTGAATTGATAAAAAGTTCACTTTCATTTCTTTCACCTAATCTCCATCTGAATGCATAACTGTATCCCGATCTGTTCTACAGATCTGATTAGTATTCATATCATTCTCGACATTTCACTGATCTTGATTTTTAATATAATAATTGATTGATTATATTTAGGCTCTTAATTTACAATCAGCACTAGCTGAAGAAGCAAAAGAAAAAAGTCGTCAAGTTGCAGGTTAGTTAATTTAACTTTGATTTAGTTCCTATGAATGATCAACATTGATTCACATATGTGTGTGTATGTGTGTGTATCACAATGATTTCTTTTTTTTTCAATTTAAAGATTTATAATTATCAAGAAAACGGGTGAGCTAATGGAAATATTTGCTCGGCTTTCATTTTTTGTTTACGTTTCTTTTTGCTTCGCTTTTTATTTTGAATTTAAAAATATATTGAGATTATTTTGTTTCAGCAAAACATTATTTAAATAAATCATATCAACATCATACATCTCGTCGAAATTCATAGATTTATAAAATTGAACTGGTTAACTTTAACAGTGGTAGTGATGGTGCTAGATTTTACTCAAATCTTTTGTTTTCTTTTTTCTTTTATATGTATAGAGTTTGATATTTCTGTCTGTCTCTTTCCGTCTCTCTCTCTCTGTGTAATTTTTCAATTATACGCTTTTGTGTGTCTCACTATTTTTTTATACTGTGCATGTTTGTTCTCTTTTGTACCACATCAATTATAATATGTACTATGTAATCGAGATTTTTCGTTGTTTTTATTCTTTGTTTAGAACGATCAAAGAAAAAAGTAATACTCGATTTATTAATTAAAATTTGTACATTGAAAAAAATGAGATCTAAATATAATATTATTAAAGGTTGAAATATCTTTTCTTTTGTTATAATAATAGATTGTGACCTTGTAGTGAAAGAATATTTCATTATTATAAAATGTTTAAAATAAGAGATTCGAAAAGGTCGAAAATGTCGTTATGTTTTTGTATGACTTTTTTTTTATCTTTATGAATAAAGAATTTTAAAATTATGGATGAATATTTCAGTAAACATTAAGACAAGATTGAAAGTATATTTTTTGAACTTTTACATGATCTTTATTTAATATGGATTATCTCATCAATATATAAATTATTTATTTATAACCCTAAGTATAATTTAGAGATGGTGATATCAATAGCATAAAAATAAATGATATGATAATTAGAATCTATTCAAATGATTAACACATGTCGTGTAAGAAAAAAAAAGTAAATAAATGAAAGCTTAGTAACTGCTCTAGTACATATGTAGAGATGTCCAGAGCTGATTTTAGTTCCGGCCTGGATTCCAGTGGCCAACATCGAGATCAGAATTAAAGATTATACGTAAATATTCCATGGTTTCAAGCGTATTATCTTATAAATCATATAGATTAGCACATAACTCAAGAGAGATTATCTGAAAAAGTGCTAGTCGTCGAGTAAATGAGAAAAATGAGTATTGAAGAATTGTTTTCTATATGATACAAACAAATTGTAAAATAGTTTTGTTTCCATCGACCTTAGGATTAGAACCGGATGGAGAAAAGGTGACCTAGACCGAAAGCAAAAATATTTGACCTCACACATGTTTATTCATGTGATGTTCTCAGAGACAATTAATAGCAATCTTTGTATTTTGAAAGACTTTGCTTTAGTTATCCGATATAACAATATAATTTTATTTAAGTTTGCATTGGCAAGTATATAAAGGATTCCTGTGTTGTATAGATTTTGGTTTTATATTTTCATGTAATGCCTTGTCTTTTGATGTACTGCAAAATATTTACGAGTAAGTTTCTTTTGTATGGATATAATAATAACAAATATATCCTAAGATTGTTTATCGCGTCTATTAATCATTTGTTTTTGTTACTATTCGAAAGAAAAACAAACCTAATCAATGAAATCGTTTATTTTTCTTCATATTTTTTTTTATATAACCTTGACAGCATTTTGAATACATAGAAATAAATAGAATAAAATTCTGTCACATTATTTATCGTAAAGATGTAAAATATAAACGAAATAAAAGTTTTTTCTTCATGTTTTTTTTTGTATAATGTTATATAACGATGAATTCGAATGAATGCAACACATTATGAAATCTATTTGATCCAATGTTAGAAAAAAAAATCATGCATAATAAGAAAAGGTTTTTCTACAAATTGAAAGTTTATCAATGAACACTTTTGTATCTCGGCTTTAGACATCTCACGAAATGATTTAGTTTTTTTCTACATATTGTATAAAGAGTTCTGGGCTTCAATTCGAAATTGTTTTCAATACATGAATGAATTGCAAATCTTTAGTAAAATTAGCACGAAGAAATAAAAGAAAGTCTTAACAATTCCTGAGTGATCAATTTTATTATAATTTCTACCTGAATTATATAAACATGTTTCCGAACATTTCATCGAATATTAGCCGATATGTGGCTATTTTCTAGTACAAAATATACTGGACAGAATGTTACTTGATGAAAAAAAAATGTCATCGTATTTTGTAAATTTCTCCATAATAGAAAGAAATAGACGACTCCATTTGTAACTGGTTGCATCACTCTAAAAAAACATAATTATGGTACAAATTTAACCAAAAACAAACGAACTTTTCACGAAACAATTTCCAAAATGCCCTTCTAAAATATGAATAAAGATTTTTTCGCGAAAAAAAGCGTTTATCTTTCATAGAGAAAAAAAGAAAATTCTTTTTTCTTCGAAAGTACAGTGAAATATAATGTCCTTTCATATAACAGTGATAGTGTATCTGTAACAGAGTGTTGAGGACAAAACATCCTAGATAAATATGGATACAAGCAATAAACATATATTCCGATAGAACGTTTTACGCTCTTCAAAGTGGATCATTCGTTATCTTTTAAAAAATTTCTTTTTTTGTTTTAAGTACATCCCACTCCAAAATACAGTTTTTCCCACATTGTAAGCCTAATAACTCAGCGATAGTACCAACTAAAGTTTTGAAATTTGCTGTAGTATCCAGGCAGAAAACAGAGTTTATCACCCATCCACATTTTGAAATCATTTGCGTTCTGTTTCGTTCACAGAGAAGTTGTCTAACTGAGCAGGTTACTTAACTTCTAACTTATATTGAGAATTAATGTTAGATGAATTATATGCAATGTACATCGTTCTTGTATGCAAGACTAAAGATGTTCAATTTAGATAAGTTCGTTACTGCAGAAAATCATTTAAAATGGGAGAAAGAATAGGATACTTACTTACTACATTGCTATTAATCACGAATTTCTGTATTAAATAATAGCTTGATATTCACTAGATTACTATGAACATAGACATAGTATGTACGATACAAATGGAAATACAACCATAAGAGTCATTCGTAAACGATTAGCATAGCAGAATTCCATTAAATATACCTCAGTCAAAATGTTTATCACGAGTATATGTGTCAAATGAGGCGTTTGAAACAGTTTAGTTTTCTGCTCAATAGAAACGATATTTAAAATCATCAAAAGATGAATGAGCTTTAAAAAAATATCATCGCTCTAGAGAGAAAAACAGATAATGATCCTCATGCATAGGTGTAGCTTAGTCAATTTCGTAATTGAATTAAAACACAACTACGATTATGGGACTTCGTAGTACATCGATATAGCTGCTAGTTATATCACATCTTCTATACACTTCGATACTTTGGAATCTGATTCAAATAAACTTAAATTTATTAATGAAAATCGAAAAAAACATTTATCTACCCATAGTAACTCCACTTGTAGTTTTCTACATATTAGAAGCTGGTTAGATAAATCATTGTTTGTCATTTTTTGTCAGTAACTCGTGTGTTAACTGTAGTATTTAAAATCTAGTTATCAATCTATTCCCTTCATCAATTATTTGGAGTATACAACTTAAATCTAAATAATAATTAAATGAATATTAGCTTGATATCTTATTGTTTAAGAACAGAGCGAAGAAATTCATTTTAATCAGTTCATTTTCTTATATATTACGATAAAGTTTTCATTTTTACTATTTTCATATAATTACCTATCTACCTATTTTTCTTTTGTCTTTTTGTTTTTTTTCTTCATTAGTGAAGCGAAATGACAAGACAATAATGCTAGACGATCAAACCTACGCATTTTATCTTCCGATTTGCTATTAGACAAAAGAACAATTGGTAAATAGGTAAATAATAAAAATGTAAACTTAATCTTAATATAAAAGTAAATGAACTAATGAGGGAAATTTTCCGTACAGTTATCAAGCAATAAAGAAATGTTAAGTTAATATTAATTTAATTACAATTTGAATATAATTGATTAACTAATTAACAGGAAGAGAGTTTAATATTTATAAATCATTGATACTTCATTGTTTAAATGAAACATTTATCAATCGTTAACCTTCGGATGGCTGTTGTGAGTTCAGCCGGACCCACAAAACTGTTTTTCGTTTACTGCTATCACAATATCTATTTTTTTCTGAGCGATCTTTTTTCTAATGGCTCGTCTACTTATGATACATAGAAGCCATATCATGTAATACATACAGGTCTCAAAGAAAAAGAATTAAAGGGCGGGTCCGCATGGATCCGCTACCGATCTACGTGTTATACAGATGATTTTTACTCTTGTTGGATCTGCCATCTGTCGTTTCTAGAGTTTATTTTCCAGATGATTCGTTAATTAGTCTCTTCCAATAGTGATTCGAATATTGTTTTCATTCTAGTCATGATATTCGTTCTCGGGTTTTCTTCCTTGAAAACAAATCAAGTCTGAAAACTTCAAGAGCTCTCGAAGTACGAAAACTCTAATACTTTTTTGATCTTTTTAAATAAAAAATGGCAAGTAAACCAAATCTAAAGAGAATTCGAGAGGTTCGTATGATGAATGGTAGTAATGAATTTGATAAAAAATTTCTGAGGATGACGAGTCGAATTCTGACCCAGATTATTCAGTTGCTGAAACAGAATTCGATGACATATCCACTGATGAATATATTTCGAAAGAAGATGATTCATCAGATTCTAACAGTACTGATGATAATATAGATATAAAGGTGTGGGCGTTGGTGAGGGTGTATGGGCGTTGTTTAAAAAAAGACACTCATCCCGACACCACATCCACAGCCCACACCCTTACATGTGGGTCCTACTGGATCCACAAAAGTCTTTCGTGTGATAAAACGTAAGCGCCATCCGAGGATTAAGAGACGTTACCGCGGAAACTATTTCAACTGTTAAAACAGTGTTATTTGTCGTCAAAAACACGATAAAACAGTTAAGATATTGAGATATTTAAACCGTGTTTTTGTTGTTGTCTTGTCTATTTCATTATAATGAGATGCTCGAACAAGAATGACATATAAAAAATCTGCCAGAATTCGTTGATCAGAACAAAATTTATATGAAAATATTTCTCTTCGTACTGTTTTTCTAGCAAGAGAATATGATAGTCATGCAAAATCGTCCAAGACCAGTTTTATGTTGTAATTCAGACTCACATAAGTAATGTTTAGAATAACAGAAAAATAAATTTGAATTGTAATAGCTAATAGTGATATTTATATCATATTTGAGATAATCCAAAAACTAGTGACAGAGGTATTTTCAGTCCTTATAAAAAGTTTAAAGAAAATTTCTCTCTATTCAGTCTGATAGTAAAAACAATGCTTTATTTTTCTATGATATTCATTCATTCTTCAACCGATATCATAATAATAAAATGTCAATAAGACCTGTTTGCTTCTGATGTATGCTGGTTATATTACATCACATTATTTTCAATAAGTATTCTCTTCTTGATTTGCTCTGTGTTCTTTCCCTTCTTGCCTCTATTCTTTTTTTTTTTTCGTTTCTTTTAATGTCTTCCCGTCTGTATAATTATATCCATATATAAAGACGCATGTCTTGTTTGTTTTGTTTGTATTGTACACTATAAGCATGCTCTTATTTTATTTTTAAAAACTAAAATAAGGTTAAACCCTAACATAGTTCATCTCTGTTTTATATGAATAAGGAAAATTTTCGATTCTATACGAAAGAATGCAATGCACTTCATATTCAAGCAGAGATATTCATGATGAATTATGTTTAGTTTGTAGTAACAAAGCTCATTTTCGTTGGACAGATGATATATGTTCTAAATGGTGTCATGAAAGTCGATAAAAGATTGAAGACAAAGTACGAGTTACTTGTTTCTGTATTTCGATTTTTGTTTTGTCATCACTACTTTTGGATTGCCCTAAGTATCTATCCTCTAGAAATGTTCTTCTTAACCCGTCCTTGTTATCGTAGGGTCGAAGTGAACCCCACTTTACAATTTTGTCGTGTACTACTACATTAGGATTTCCTGTTTCGGACTAGTCCTCTTCTCTAATCTTTAGTCTTTTGTTGGTCCACAATATTCGTATGAAAAATTACAGCTACGTCTAATAGGGGAAAAATGCAGCTGTAGACCTGCATAAGCCCTACGACAACAACAGTATTATGAGGATCATATATCGTTTGTTTTCTTTTTGTCTTTCTAATGCAAACAGTACCGAAATGATGCCTTGTTAGGCGTCTCACAAAAAAGATTAAACAAGATAGCATTCAACAAATAAACTTAAATATGAATGATATCATTATTGTGATAAAGAAACTAGGTTTTCACTCTTTTTTAATCATGAAAAAAAAACAAAAATAAAGATAGTTAAAGAGAAAAATTTCTTATCTTTTTATCTATAGACAAATACATATATTTCTACTATTCTAGAATAAAATGATTCAATCTAAGATATTTTTAGTTGCCTTCAATATCATCATGAAAAAGGTTCCAAACAATCTTTTGTTTTTTTCGATCTTGTACATCTTTATTTAACCACTAATGAAACTTCATTGGCTATTTCTATGGTAGATCCAGGTGAATCCCAGAACAACAGCGAAGTATACAAATGAGGGCATATAAGAGAGTTAAATCAACACGTTCATTTACTAATCGTTCTGTTCAAAAACGTCTGTTTAATGTTATAAAATAAGTTGAAAAACATAAAAAACATGATTTATCATTCATTTAACTGATATGATCATTCGAAAGGAACATTTTTTTTTCTGACTTATGATATCAATATTCAAGATCATTATAAACTTGAAATCTGAAACTATCAATAGGCATGTTATAGGTTAATGAATACATATTTCGCGATGTTATTTCGGCCTCATTGCATCTTTCTGTCACAGTCCATTGACTTTCTTTTCTCTCTTTTATAATATATTCAGTTGTTTTTGTTCTGTTCTTCTTATTACTTGACTTTTTCCTTTCTCTGTTACCATGTTTATTGGGTTTTTTCTATGCTATTGAGTCACAGTAGATATTATCCTCGCATATACCACTGTATAAAGTGGATGATTGTACAATGAAACATGATGCAATCTTCAAAGTTATCTACATAAGGAGTTCTTATCTTTTCACAAGATTTAAGTGTCGATTTTTTTACAGTTACAGGTATTGCACTGATTTCATTGTTACCTCTTCTATTCTGTGTTATCATACACTTATGATATCAAAACAGAAATCGAGTTATACACAATATTATCTTTACTTCTCTATATATACTTGGTAAACTCAATTTGAAGTCCAAGAACAAGCTCTTTTTGACATCTACATCAAATTAAAAAATATATACAGATTAACATGATGGTGGGAATAGTGTCTTGTTGTCATATATTTACTTGCATTTTTTTTATTTATATTCTTCCATTTTTTAATACTTTTTCGTCAATTTTCCATTAACAATAACATATTATATATTCTATTATTTATTTTAGAAATTATGTCTTCGTATCTATATGCTGTATTATTATTTTTGATGATTTTTTCAAGTATCAATGCTGGTGAAAAAATTTGTCCTGGTTATGGATATATTCTACTGCCGGAAAATTGTACATCAACATGTTCAAAAGAAAACGACACATGCTCACCAGATCTAAAATGTTGTTTTCGTGTAGAAGAACCGTGTGGCTATCATTGTATTGTACCGAAAGATAATGAACCAAAACCAGGCATCTGTCCAGTATCTCTATCCTCAGCACAATATATGAAATGGTACTTATGTGACGGACATGAATGTGATGTTGATAATGATTGTAAACGCGCTGACAAATGCTGTTACAATGCATGTGGTATGCCATTATGTATTGCACCAAAATATTTTAGACGTGAATTCACTTGAAAAATTATACTATGAAGTTTATCTATAGAATATATGTGGAGATGAAATAGTTTTTTTCTGTTGCTAAATGTCTATTTTGTATCTCAAAGAAGTACTTTTAAAAGGAGATTATTTTTTGTTTTTTCTTCCCCTAAACAAAATAAAAATATATTCCTGTTCTCGCATACACATACAAAAATATGATAGATATTTTGATATAGGAAAACAAGATAAGTTGTATTGAGTTGATTATTGTTTGTTTTTATTTGATTTCGTAGTGTTATCAAACAGAAATTTGACAAAAACAAAGCAAGTTTTATTTATCTCTCATCGCATATGAAAACAAAAGACAAAATTTTTAGGTCTACTATAAACATGATAGTTTGTTTTATAGCTCGAATGAATAAGCATGGTTGACTTGTACATGAAGATCCTCTAAATCAAAGTGAAAAATCTACCATTCTTTAAAAATATCGATCATTTTTTTAAAGCTCCTGGCTTCGTCGCATATCTTCTTCGACACTAAGAAATAACTAAATCCTGCTGGTGAATGATTTTTCAATCATTCTATTATCGAATAAAACACTTTAGAAAATTTATAAACATATTTTTTGCATATTATTATTCTTTTGTAAATGTTATAATTATTAAGATATTAAAATTAAAGATTGATATATATGAATACTGTTTTATAGAGCACATTTTGGCATGCATACAGACTGTATTTAAAAGACTCCAAGAATTATTTTTCAAAATAAAACTAACAAGAAAAGGAGGAGGGCGGATAAGATCCTTTCAGGGCCCAAAAAATTTTCGGATTTTTTACATTGAAACTATGTCAGAGGACACTTGGGAGCATTCCAAGACACTTAGTTTAGCGAAATCTCTCTGTCAGTTTTTTTTACACCTGAGGTTCCCCACAGGACTTCTGGAAAACTTTTTTTTCCAATTTTTCCCAAACCCACCTGATAATATGTAATCCACCCCGCTGATCACGAATATTGATACCAGAAGTATCAAACATGTTTTAGGCAGGAGTAGTCTTCTATTTATCTTCATTTTCTTGGTCTCGACACAGGCAATTTCAACGTCCTCCTAACGTAGGAAGTATCAAAAAGCCACCCTATATAGTGATTCGAATGCAGAATTTCATGCTGAACCTGAATATGTAATCAAAAAAGTTATTCAAATTGAAAATTCTTAGAAAATTGTCAAAAATTCTGGAAAACCATGGTTTTTGACGGTATTCGCCCTAAATGTTCCAGGCGGACACCCAAACAGAAACCTAGTCGCAATCTTAAATTTTCATGTTGTGTACAACTTTTACTCCCCTATCCACTAGTGCTTAACAAGAACAGAAAAAAGATGTGGAACCCGTCTCCAGAGGGTCTCCAGAAANCACCCGCGCCCCCCCCCCCCCCGCCACCCACACCCACACCCACACCCCACACCCACACCCATGCCCACACCCACCCACACCCACACCCACACTTGACTCTATCTACTCTTCAATGTATATAATTAATTTTACCTTATCAAATTCCATTTTTTCACTAAATGAAAGAAAAATAACCAAATCAATTTTTGAATATTTTCCAAAACAAACAGAAATTTACTTAGATAAAATACTATTCATAATATTATAATTGATATACGTTGAATGTTTATCTTACTATCCGAAATTTCAACGTTTTCTACGATATCTAAAAATTAAAAAAACAACATATATTTTTAAGATTTCTCTTCTCTTATAAGTGAACTATATTATCTGATCTACATCATCTAAACTGATATTAGGTCAATAAAATCAAAACTCGCTAAGCATATAATAAAGCTGGAAAGAAGTGTTATGATCGTTATAGTGTATTTTCGACTCATTCTCCAATATTTATTCAAAAATAAAACAAACGAATTTCGATCTATAATTTCGCCTATTAATTGATTTAAGATCGTCCTTCTATCATCAAAAGATCAATCCAAGTCCAGAAATGTTCAAATTGTCTGAAATTCGGAAGAGGGTGTGGGTGGGAGACTCAAGAGAATAGATCCGTCCACATTTACATCCTCAATTATTGCTTTATTTTATTTTTAAAAAAGTCAGCTTTGATTGATTTATTTTAAGATAGATAATTTTAGAAGAAGCATATCTATATGCATCTGTTTTCATGACGACTTCTCTTTTCACATTTTACATGGAACTTTCCAATTTTATACATTATGACTAATAGAGGTACATTTCTGTTGTAATAGAGTTGATTTTAAAGTTTTTTTTTTTCTTTTCATAAATGTGCTTGTGTTTTCGATGAACTCAATTATTCATTCGGCTAAATTTTAAGGAGAAAAAAAAACTAGAATATCAAATTGCAATGAGTAATGATCAAAAGCATGGCTCATAACTTGTTTTCACTAATATGTATTAGATGAAAAAAATTAATCTCTAAAAGATTATTTTCTATTTTACCGTAGATTTCAGTGCTTAAAATTTAACATTGAAATATTTTTAGAATGATGATCGTTTTTGAAAAACTCTAATGTCAATATTTTTAAAAATCCTCATGATGGCCGTACTTTGTGTTATGCAAATACTTTAACTTAATAATTTCATCAAGTAAGTTATTATCTTCCGTCATGTAGTAAACTAGATTTTCATATTGTTCAAGTTAATACAGCAGTTGAACAATCGCATTACCTTATTTTCCTAATAACCAGTGAACAGTAAGATGAAATAAAAAATCATGAACAAAAAGAAAATCTAATGACTATATTCTATTTCCTAATGATACAATCATGATTAGGACAACTATACCGATATTTAGGTAGTAAATTCATTTTGATTTCAGTTAATGACCGAAATCAAATTATAAATTATTAACTATAAAACAATTAGAAGAAACGAACAAAAACTCAAAGCCAGATCTTCAACTGACATTTGTTCTTTCAATGTTTATTCTAACAGAAATGAAAGCCTGACATTGCTATTATTCACAAAACATTTTCACCAGTTTCAATTTCCTTGAGTAAATTCCGATAGTTTGTATCAAAATCTTTTTTTGTAAAATCAATATAGAGCAATTCAGCTGAGATAAGACCAAGCCATCCATCAGGATCATATTTTTCTTGGAGTCTTAATGGAATAAGCCGTTTACGTTTCTTACATGCATATGTTAATTCTTTACGACAATTGTCTGATTGTCTGTATTTTTCAGTCATTCCGAACAGAATAATCTCCGATTGTTCAACTGCTTTGGCCATTGCTGTATAGATACATCCATGCATATTCTGAACGTCAAACCATATTGTGTATCCGTCTGATCGCAAACGATCATAGATTTTCTTGCATATAGCCTGATTATCCCAGTTATAGCTGATCATCAGACTTTGTTTTGAAGCAGATGCAGGATGGTGATTAGATTGAGTCATACGACGTTGATTTTGCTGCAGACGACGACATAAACAAAGACAAGTATTCGTATGTGCTATTTCTACAGATCCTCGGCTTGGCGTTGCATATGATGGTGGTTGTATTAATCTTGGTGGTGGGGGCGGAGAACATAAGGAATGTTGGTAATGATTTGTCGACGTATACGGAATTATGATATCTGTCTTCAGTGTGTTTACCGATTCTTGAATTTCTGTATACACATCGTCAACAGTTTGTTCTAATATTTCCGATGTCTTGTGTTTAAACGGTTCATCATGAAGTGGTACGTTACCATTAGAATCAATTGTTTGACCTAGAGTGTATATTAAAGATTTAAAAGAAAAACAATAATATCTGATCTTTTTTTAATCTAAGATGTGATTCAAATATAAACTACTCATTTTCTTAACAAGAACTATTGATCGAGAACAACGAAATCTTAAGTAATATTCCAATAGCAATCGGTCAATGATGAATCAATTTTTTTTCTATATCAAAATGAATAAAACAAATTATGTATATTTTTGTGACTTTGTCAAAAAAAATATGAAAAATCGAGGAAATACAGAATCAGACGAAAATTTTTAACCTTTGAATTCTATTTGATATCAATTAGGACATGTTAGTCTAACAGGTCTCGTTAATTTTTCTTTCAAACGTAGACTGTTTAATATTGCTATATATGATTTTTCTTTATCTCTCTTTGTGTGCTTCATTGCAATGTGCAAGTTGTACAGTGTCTTCTTGATGTCATGGAGAAAATGAATCATTTTCTTATACGGATAGGTATTGAGATTTCCTGACAAGCCGATTTTTAACAAAGAAATACGTTCTGATGAGATCAGCATGTCAATGAAACATATTTGCGATGTTTCTGGTAAAGGATGCACGAACTCCACGTAGTTTTAGCCAATCTCAAATAATCAGACTTGTTTGGATTTGAATTCAGAACTGCTAATATTCGGTTAGAATCGATATCGGTGCATCCATACTCAATAATAATTCAATAAATTAAGCCTAAGCTTTGAGAGAATTTTCATCTTTCATTCAAAATTAGTTCCTCACAAGTCTAAGAGAAGAATCTTCTTCTACAGAAAAGCTCAGTTATTTATTAAAATTCCGAGCATGAGCCATGTAATTAATAAAATGTAACATAAAAATAACTTTATCGGGTGAAAAAATTGGAAGCAATTAGAATGACTTTATGTCTCTGATCTACATTCTTGGTGCAGTATGTGTAGACCTGTAACAGTTTCATATCGATGCCAATTACACGAATTGTCGAAACTGTTTTGATGAACGATTAGCTTCTACGAGTATTTTATTAGTTCTTATTAGAAGAATTCGTCTTTTTTGATAGATCATATAAAATGAGTTGAATTCTATTGTCATTATTGATTGTAAAATTAACCCCGGTTGAAGATTTTATTTGAAGAGAATAGATCAAGTTTTTTGTAGTCGCATGTATCTTTGATGAAAAATCATAAGCAAGAACGCTATAAAACATTTAAGACCGACAGTTAGAGAAGAGAATGATTTCATGTGAGAAAAAAATACTATGCTCTGCTACTCATAAGAATTTTAAACGCAAACAAGTACGAAGATGAACATATCATTTGTTTGAAAATTTGTACATCGATTTTGTCCTGATGTACGAGTTACGAAGTAGCACAACTTTTCTAGTTCTCGCTGTAGTACGTGTATCAGTTTGACCTTTCACTGCTGTTGAATTTGGAAAACATGTATGTACATAGATAGATTGTCAAAATGAACATTGCAGTTACACGCATGTTACATCGATTGATGAATACAGTAGAAACTTAACTTGCACAATATTGTTTACTCCAGCGTTTTGCATAACATATGTTTATACTTCCTATTATCTGTTTTCTTTGCACCTTCCATATAACTAAACTGGTATTAGATAAAAAGATTATCTCATCGATTTTTAAATTAGTTTCTAGTATTTAGACTACGATATTAGTGTAAAATCCGATTCTGTACTAAAGATTTTTTGCACTGTAGGAACAAACATAGTCATGATGAAATTCCGTGAGCATAGAATAAAAGAAAGATATTTATATACCGATCAGCTTTAAATGAAAATTGAGATATGCTAGGTGAAAAACTTTTTTTTACTACTCTTACAGTACATATTTTTCATTCGAACTTGAGAATACAACAATATTGCATGATCAATATGCTGTTCAACTTCCATTCTATGTAGTTCTCTTCGAATACAAAGAAACTATTTTCCTATCATCGAACAAGACTAAATCCGAAAACAAAAAAAAAACTTTGAAAAACAGTTTTGAATTTGTTTTTTATACGAATTAGAAGACTCGTATTCGAATACACTTTTCGATTTTTCGACAAAGAGGAGAGGAGCATCTTTTCATATGGAAATAGGTGAATTTGCATAATATCAAACTATTTTCACGAAAAATTGATTAACGGTCGTGAGGACATGTGGGCGCGGTGTAAATGCGTGTGGGAGTGTGGTGTTGGTTGAGTACTTCATGTTACACATGCCCACACCTGTCAACTACATACTGTTTCACTAAAATAATGAAACAGTAATAAAATATTTTCATTTGTTTATAGTTTTCTTTTTTCTCTTTTACTGTTAATTTTAGGTTCAACTTCTCTTTCTTCATCTTGTAATTGTTCGTTTTGGTCAAGTTTTTCTTCAATAACTTTTTCTGGAAAGAGATCACGTACAATACTTCCATCATCTTCATCTTTAGCAAGCCATCGATGACATGAAAATATAAATATTTTATTTTTTTGACTTTTATCTAATCGACGAATTTCAACATGATCTAAATGCCATGATGCACCTATTTTCAAAATAAAACTATCAATTAAATGTTGTTCAATTAACTTGTTGTTTTTTTTTGCTAATTTTACCGAAACCACGATTATCATGTCCAATACGAATTTTTTTAATATCTTTGCCAACATCTTCAAGTTCAAGTACAAATGTATCAACTGAACCTGTTCGAAATTTGCCTCTTCTATCTGTTTTGCTACATAAATAAACTTGACCAGTTGTTTTTTCAACACCAGATATTTCAATATGAACATTAGAATCTGTTCCAGCACCAGAAACTTTTGATGTGAAAACTTTTATTTCATATGAAACATCTATAAAGAAAATAAATATATTTAGCCATTGATTTGTATTCTTACATGGTGTATAAATTTCAGTTGCCATATCTTGTGGATACAGTTCAATTTCTAATTGGCAATCACCTTTCCATTTACTTAACCATTTTCCACATGAAAATTTCCATGTACGACCGAATTTAGGTATATCGATTTCGACTTGTTCTAATAACCAATCGGATTGTAAACCTGTACCATCATGACCAATTCTAAATAACAGAAAACTGGATTATAATTTTATTTTTAAGATTATTATCTGTACTTTATCTTTGTGGGTTCACCAATATCCATGGTTTCGATCTCGAATACATCAGTATGACCTTTTTCAAATGGATATGTATGTGTTTTTGACGTTGTCAATGGAACTTTGCCTATTGATAATATCATAGTTTTTTTCTCACCTTCATCAAATAAACGAATCAAACCTGTATCATTATTCTGTCCAAAGATAATAATATAAACATTAGCATCTGTACCATTACCCCATTTCTCTGACGTAATAACACTAATTTTATATGTAGTCGCATTAGCTGTGAGTAAAAGAATAAAAATCAATAAAAATACATTTTTAAATAAATATAGAATAATGGGAGAAGGATAAACTTTAAATGATAATGTGGATATCTATTTTAAATGAGAAACAACAAAAAATTTAGACAAATCCAAAGAAACAGAAAAAGATAATAAATAAACTTGATGATACATATTCATTGTACAAACCATGATGAATATGTGCTGGAGAAAAGAAGATATCCGAAGTGAAAGAGTACGGATATAAATTATACTTTTCAATGATTTATTTCATCAATTTTAAGAAAACTTACATTTCATTTCTAAATCGAAATCAACTGATGATCCAGCTGAATCCTTACAAGCAGTTGCTAAATGTAGTGCCTTATTTTCAAGTGCAGGAATTTCACGACATAACAATCCATCATCTATATCAGTAGCCAACCAGCTTTTACATATAAAATAATATCTTTAAATAACGAATAAAAAAAAGTATTGAATAATTTTCATTTTTATTTTCAAGTTGAATACTTACGTTTGATTTGTTTCTGGATCAATAATTTCCACTCGATCAAGATACCATGCAGAAACAAGCTAGAAAAACATATCAAAACACAGAATAGATCACGTTTTTTTTTTTGATTTCATATATATCTTTCTAACAAAAATATTGAGTTCAAAGTTTTTCGGCTCTATTCAACTCATGTTCCTTACAGACCTTAGCAACTGAAGTCAAAAGTCATTGGATATGAATATTTTCTTTTTGCAGTCGATAATAACAGATATCACACTCTTTTCTCATAGTTTTCTAGCAACGGAAAAGGCGCTATATGGCATCAACAAAAACCTACAAGGGAATTTTGTCAAATGTTAATCACGGGATCGAATGAAAGTTATGCTAATTAGAAAAATATTTCTAGTCCATATTCATAAGAATAACGTAAACAAAAACTATTTCAAAGTACAATTTTGAAATCAATAAAATGAAATTGTCCTCTTAATGCTTTAGAAAAAACACCATTTATGTGTACGACAACCTTTAGCTTTAAGACATCTTATTTTCGAACTAGAAATATGCCTCTATAATTTCAAAAAAATTACTCTACTTTAACTAGAATATGCTAAATTTTTTCTTCGTGATGACTTTTAAAACAGGTTGTGAATGGAATTTTTTTTTTCAGAAATTCGTCTAGACAGACATTTCCTTATCGAAGTTAATAGTAATACTTCGAAATAATTATTTTCTACATTATTTTTATCAATATGAATTAGGAACACTCCTCTATCGAAAGTAGAAAAATCAGCTCATTTGGTCCTTACACAATGAATATTACTACATAAAACAAATGATGAACAAATACTCGATGTAGAATGAAATAGGCAATCTAATATACATATCGCAAGAAGAATGGATGTGGTATCTACATATGAATCTATACATTTGACACCTATATGTTATGCTTCGTTGGGATAATATAACCTGAAAGTCCTATGGAAGAAAAAACGTCTGTTACCAGCTTGTCGAGCTCTATGAACCAGTATAGTTTTCTTTCGATTTCATCACTAATACTTAGCAAGCTTCCTTCGTTAGGCTATTCTAGCAAATTCTACAGTCTTTCTTCAAATTTAAATGGTTGGAAACACGTTTTTTTGTGTTTTACTATTCTCAATAGTGCAGTTTCAGATTTTTACCCAAATAAAAGATAATGTGTTAAATATGAAGAAAGATGTTTAATGATGCATTGATTTAGCATACTCATCATTTAAGTAACATAGAAAAGCATAAAATGAACAAATTCTAACTTTCGAAAATAATCAATATCAGTATTTCTAAGTTTATTCTCATGCATAACAGAACTTTAAGACTTATTGTAGATATATTGAATATGTACAATACGCTTATTTGATAGTTAAAACAATGATCAAAAGAGCTAAGATTATAGTAAATTAAGAAAAGTCAAATAAAATATCGAGTGAATAGTAACCAGACAAAAAAATAGTGCACTAACAAGCTTCGCTGATATGCCATTGTTTTTTTACTGAATTAAACAAAGATTGTTTTTATCATCTTAAATAATTAGCAAAATAAATTATCATTTATTCATATTATCTTCTCAATTTCTGAATAAAACTTTGTTTTATAAAGTCGAAGTAATAAAACTTATCTTGAATTATTTGATCTTGCTTACCCAAATCAATCAAAACAAATATCTTTTTCGGTCCATTTTCCAACAGTGAACTAAAAGTATCTTTTCGTAATTCTGGATCTGGTAATACGACACCGTAATCGGCAGTGTAAGAACTGTGTTTTTTTTATTATCTAGATAGTAAAATATTCTTATCTACTGCAAGAGATACTTAATATTAGAAGTACCAATACAATTGATTCTTCTCTAATAGTATAATACTTTAAGAATAACAGCTTAATCTCTCGAGTGTAAGTATGATATGAAGATAGAAAAAAAAGATAATCTGTTGGAATGATGAAATCATCTCAGATTTTTCTCATAATCAAACAAAACTAGACTTATTTTTGAAAATTTTCAATTGAATTGAGTGGAATAAACACAAAAACTTGTGAATAGACTAATAATTGTATAGTTTACATTACTTATTCTTCAAAAGACAGTTGAAATATTTTATATTTCTTAAGTTAAACTGTTCATATCAAAGATACTTTAGTCTCTTAAGAAACTCATTAGAATTAAAAGTAAAGTTTTTTTTTTTCATTGAAACTCTGAAATTTAATGGAAACTTAATAATTCTACATTTACATCATCATGTCGAATTTTTATTTTTCTTAATTTGCCCAATGATGTAGATTTGATTTCAAAGATATCTTCCTATAATAAATATGTAAGAAAAAAAAATTGAAGAAGAAAAAGATCAACTTGATTTTGTTTAAACTTATTCTTATTTGTTTTCGATTGTCGTAATTCACGTTCACCTTTACAAAATAAACAATTCAATAAAATCTTCTCATCAATTCCACCCTTCTACCTGTATCTTCAAATTCACCATAGATTGTTAGAAAAACATTTGTATCTGTATCAACTTCAGATTTATTACCAGTAAAGACATGTATCATATATGTTACTTCTAAAAAAGAAAAACAAATTGTTTCTTTCTTATTACGTAAATAACTACAAGAAATTTCATCTGTTACCATTTCGATTACTTAATGAATTTTCTTGTTCATCAACTGGTAATAATTCTCGAACAGTTGCTTTATCACCTGAATTTTTATCAAACCATTGTCGACAAACAAACCAAGATTCTTCAACATTTGGATCAATTGCATTTATTTGATTAAGACGTTGTGATCGATTAGATTTAAAGCCTACATATATATATTTGATGAATGAAAACAAAATATTTGATTATTTAGTTTAACCTTGTTTTTGTTTATCAGATTTTTCACTTAAATGTCGTTGAATAAGTACCTAAACGAAAATTTTTAAATAAAAATATGAAAAAAAAAAAAATTCAATAGAATTTTACTTTTTCGAGATACCATGCTGAGTTAAATTTTTCTGAATAATGACCAATTCGAATTTTTTCTATTTGTCCTATATCATAAGCTTCTATTTTAAATTTATCTATCTAACATATGAATATATAAAATTATTTAAAAATATAAAATATTATTTCGAAAAATATTTCTACCGCTTTTCGTTTGAATGTATCTGATGTATTTTTTAAAATAATTTCTTCTGTTTTACCATTTAGACCATACATTTGAATAAATACTTGTGCATCTATACCAGCATCACTTTTATCACCAGTGAAAACTATTACTTCATATGGAATAACTTTAAAGAAAATATATTAATGATTTTCTTCAATTAAAATTTCCAAAATCATATTCAAAAATTTACCTGAACTTTTTTTTATTCTATTAGATGGCGTTAAATCGAGTTCAATTTTATCATCCCTTTCACTTTTATCTAACCAACGATTACAGACAAATCTATTGAAAAAAAATATAGAGTAAACAATTTGCTGCAATAAATAGCCTATAGATAGAGATCATATTCTTTTTCTATCAATTGATTTTAATGATACGATCTACTAAGGAAAGATCTCCAACTTACACAATTTAATCTTGAGTTGAAACAAAGTAGAAGCAAATGGATACATGAATAGCCTGATAAGACTTGATGTTTGTAGTTTTTACAGTATGTTTTAAATGTTATAATACGAGAAAAATTAATTTTTGGATTTCAACTTGAAACTTTTCATTAAGACAAATCTTCAACAAAATACTTTATTGTAAAAGTTTTGAATCTTTGCGTGATTCTTATACTAAGATATAGCTATGGTTATTTTTTTTAAAGGTCTATTTTTATGCAAAACTTTAAGTTGAATTTTGAAAACTAATTTTCTAAGGAGACTTATAATATTTATATAAAAAATATCGTAATAGTGTAGTATCTTTATAGTTAATAAACTAAAGACATAAACTCTTCTGAATGATATTCATAGTACATTTAGATTTATGCAATTCGTATAGTCTTAACTCAAATGTAATTAATCAATCGTGAAAATTCTTTCATGAGACTATTTTAATCTTACAAAACAGCTGTGACTCATTATTTAGATCTTATATAAATAATTTTCGATTGAAAGCAAGTGTGACATGAATCTGGCAATGAAAGAAATCAATTTATTATTGTATTAATATATTGAATAAAGTTAGGAAATAAATTTGTAACATATATATTACCTATAGAGTTCTCCTTGCATTGGAATATCGATTTCTATCCAATCCAGAAACCATTTTGATGCTGGATTTTTTCCATTATGTCCAATAATTATATGTTTAATCTATAGATAATAATGAAAATTATTTTTTGCAAGAAAAATAAAAACAAACATTGAGAAATATTAACTTTTCCAAGATCATCAAATTCAAATGTAAAATGATCAATACGATTTCTTTCAAATTTATTTGATATATTATCTGTTGTTCTAAGTTGTATTTTATCTGTATCACTATTTTCACCGAAAATTTTCAAGTATACATCAGCATCAGTTCCAACCTGTAAAACATCTCCAGTTTTTATTCTAATATTATATGTTATTTTATCTAAATGTTGTGCTGCTGTTTGAAGAGTTAATTCTCGAACAATTTGTCCATCATCTTCATCCTCAGCAATCCACCTAGAATAATATTATTTTTATTAAAAACTTTTTGTTTTTAAATTGATACATAAACCTATGACATTCAAATGTTGCTGGATCATAACATTGATCTTCTGAATGTATGACAATTTTATCTAAGAACCATCCAGCACTCGAACCTATTTCATGATTATATTAAGTAAAAGAAAGAGTATACAAAAAAAAAAGAATGTCTTAGTTAATTAACTAACCAGATCCATCATGACCGATTCGAATTTTTCGTATTTGTTTTAATGAAACAGCTTCAATAATAAAACTATCTACCTAGAAAATAAATAATGAAGCTATTTTTGTAAAATATATTTTTCAATAATATTATATACTTTATTTATTTCAAATTTGTTTCCACCTTTTATTGAATACTTTAATGGACGTTCTAAGATAAGAAAAATAAAATAATTATATTCATATAGAATATCTAACCTCCTGTATCACCACATTCACCAAAAATATTAATAAATACATTAGCATCTGTTCCGGCATTAGTTTTATTTCCCGTATATACATCAACCGTATACTTAACAATAGGTAAAGATCTTGATATTCCTGAACCTTCAGCTGGTAATTCTCGTATAATTTGTTTATCATCATCTGATATTGATAACAATTTTCTACAATGAAATTTATATCGTTTATTTGTTTTAAGATTTTCCATTTCAATCTAAATATATTTCTGAAAATAATAATTTTGTTTTTAAAGTTTTTTCTCATACTCGATCAAGATGCCATGGTGCAAATAATTTTTTATTATCATGACTAACACGTAATTTAAATGGTGTACCAACATCAGCTATATCAACTTTAAATTCTTCGCATTGATCAGCTTCAAATGTATTAGATTTACTTCGTAATTTAATATCATGAGATTTTCCATTATAACCATAGAGAACAAGAATTACTTCAGCACGTGTACCTGTTCCTTGAATATCACTTGTATATATCCATATATACCATGGAACAGCTAAAATAAAGAAAAAAAATATATATATACGTATGTTAAAAAAAATAATAGATGTTTTTTTAAAGTATTTGGTGGACGAATTTTACATAATGATAAATCTTCTTTTGGTTGGGTGTAGATGATGAGTATTTGTGGAACTAAAATCCATATCCCAGATACCACACCCAAAACTCCTAAGACATTATTTGTAGGGAACTTCACAAATTATCGATTGATAAAAAAATATTTTGTTTGATTGCTCTGCCTTCGAGATATATGACTTACAAAATTAATAATGTTGAAAGAAATGCAAAGAATTCGAAATTTTTTAAACAAAATGTTTTCCACTTGCAGTTGATAGAGATCTTTTGAAATTTCTATGTGATATTAATGGATGAAGAAGTCCACTGCTGAATTAGATGTTTCGAAAGCGTTATGAGAACTTCGCGAATTATACATACGAAGGAATATAATTGACCATGTAGTCACTGTTAGACAGATGGAGAGTAATCAAGAACAAAAGTTAAGATATGCATTATAGACCTCAACTCATGAGAAGTCGAAATAGTATTTATGATGAATTAAATTTCTCCAAAAGTTACAACATGGCTCAAAGTAAAAGAAGCTTAAATTTGACAATAGGTGTAAAAACGCATGCATTCTTTTATATTAATTTTTATTAGTTCACTCGTTGCGTTTTTCTTAAGACTTCAACAGTATGAGATCAATGCTGCTTCTGTCCAGTCAATAATGTAGTCAAAGAAAAAAAGAATTAAGTCTTATGATATCGTTCAATTCTCATTTTCCACCACATGATTTTTTGTATTAATCAAACTGTCCTATTCCAGAAAGAGGATATTTGGTGAATTAGGCCACACCATTGATATATTCAACAGGCTAATACTCTATTTATAAGGTTATTTTATTAACGGCTCTTCTGGAACCACTATGGGGACAATGAGTTAACTGTCATGATGTTTTTTCTTAATCTGATTAGTTCCTTACTTTCACTTTGTGAGCGGACTTTGTAACTATCAATAAGAGCAGTGAATTGTTGCTGATATTTTTGAATTTGACTTTGTGAATTTTTATCAAGAGATTTTTTGTTCTTCTTGATATTTTTCGTTAAGAGATCCGCTAATTGATCAAATATTTGATGCAATACAGAAAACCATGGAATCCAAAATGATGAATTGGCTTGAAAATCAGAATTAGGATTTGTTCTTAATATATTGTCAGTCTCTTCTAGTATTTGTGATAACGACTCGAAGTCTTGTTTGCATGAACCTTGAGTTTTCGACAGAAATTGTTTGAACATCGCAATACTATCGCATGCAGCCAAAGCAGTCTCAATCAAATTAGATGAATTCGTTGTTGTCATTATTAGTTGGCTATTGTTAAAGAATTACGTCCACCAATGAAAAAAAACACAACTTAAGGAATTATTTTATAAAGTAATGTGACATTTGTTCGCTGCTGATAGGAACTTGTACACAGATAAAGTCTTTTTTCTTTCTTTCTTTTTTTCTTCTGTCGAGCTTTCGTTGTTATCGTCGCATGTTTTATATGCGCATGCAAAGTGCTTTATTTTTTTTTTAAATCTATTGTGTCAAAATTACATGTTCTTCTGGATTTACTCAAATATGCACTCTATTACTTGATATTGGAGACATATAGTTTGCATAATATTATTATACAGACTTATGTTCGACTGTTGAGATTTTTGCCATTCAAAATGTACTAATATAGAAGAGGATTGGATAAAAGGCAGAGATCTTACACTGAACGCTTGTAGAGGTGAATGTCTCAAAAGTAATTTAAAAAAAATATGTCCAGGAACGTTCAAACACATCTGGCACGTCAAATCAAGGCAATTGGCTAGAGATTCAATAAAAATGAAAGTTGGAAAGAATTTCTACAATTTGGATCTGTTATATAGCTATTATATCATTTGTGTAAGAAGTACAATTTTAGAATACATCCAGATATTCTTCACTAATTTTCCTGAATTTCTTTTCCCAGTACTTATTATTATTTTTCAAACTCTCTGAAAGTTTCAACCTTCAAGTTCAACTCACAAGGTTAACGAACCTATTATCTAGTGGTTTATGAGTGAAAGAAAGGATGCTATATTGTTGGTTCCTAAAGTGTTTTTTACTTTTGATCAGATATTATTTGGTCGCAATTAATTTTTGATCTATAATCCGTTCTTGTCATACTTCTTCAAGCTTCTTTACGCTTACAGACACTTTTGACTTCTTCTGTCTAGTGACATTTTCAATTTTGGTATGTCTACATCTAACAAAAAAGAATAAACCATTTGGCATGAAACTCTAGTGTGAGACATGAATGTGGATGCTCATCGTCTCTTGACCCATAGTCATACTTGTATCTCATATTCTTGAAAACAGTTTAAAACTGTTTTGTATTCATAAATTTGATGAAGAGTAGTTTAGAAATAGATAAAATACTTGAGATAAACTTTATAGTTACTAGACTTAATATTATTCATATACACATCTATATTCGTACTTAGTATCTTTGTATTTTTCGTATTGCTCTCTTATCTTTATTACATTTTGTATTGTCAACTTATTTCAACTGACATAATCAAGGTCAATATTTAAAAACAGTAGTAAATGATAATAAAATGAATTATTATTTCTAAGATAATTCTGATTTAAATTATATTTCGTTCGTATTTTATTGATTAAATCTGATTGATATTTATGTGTGTTTTTACTTGAATGTATAGGAAAACATAATGATCAGCATTAATATTCATTTATTATTAGTAATATTAAAAAAAAGCTATATTACAGTTGATGTATTTTCAATATCTTAAAATAAATGAATTATTTTGATGTGTTAATTAATATTGATACATTATTTATTATGTATAAAATTTTTTGAGCGAAATTAGAAATAATTGAGAAAAACGATTATTTTATAAATTATTAGTCGTTATATTAATATGATGATATTAAATGTTTTACTAGTATTTTGTTTTGATCGACCTATACTTTATATTCATAGGTATTCCACTATAGAGTCAAATTTCATTGAAAAAAATATACGAAATCAAACTAAATATAACGAGTGTCCCAGAAAGAATAGACTTCTTAGTATTTTAAAACCATATATGACTAGGCTCAAAAACAGTTTTAGATATATTTGAAAAAAAGACGAAAACTAAAGACATACAAAAAGCTGTAAAATATAAATAACGGGTGTTTCATAATAAATGGTCGCATTTTGCTTTTCATATTTTAATCTCTAAATACGTTTTATTAAAAAAACAAAATATATCATAAGATGCAGGATGAATAGCTCTGTAATTTACAAAGAACAGTTTATCTTATTTGGTTCATTTTTAAGTTGAAAATAACTCCAAATTCTATATGATCGGTTTTTGCAACGGCAAAAACCGTCGGACAGAGTTTTGCTTTTTCTTTTTGAAAACAAAAAGTATACAATTAAAATAAACTTTAGTTTGTTGATTGTAGAGCTTTTCATTCTGAATCTTATCGTATATTTTGTTTTTTTTAGTAAAACCTATTTGAAGATTACAATATGAAATACAAAGTGCGGCCGTTTATTATTGGTGACATATTTACATTTTACAGCCGTTTGTTTGTCTTGAGGGTGTGGGTGGGTGTGGGTGTGGGTGTGAGTGTGGGTGTGTGAGTGTGGGTGTGGGTGTGGGTGTGAGTGTGGGTGTGTGAGTGTGGGTGTGGGTGGGGGTGTGAGTGTGGGTGTGTGAGTGGGGGTGTGNAAAAGACTTAATTCTTCTTTAAGGGTACCCCTCCCCCTTTCCCGGGTTTCTCGAGAACGGTTCGACCAAAAATTCTGAAACTTTCAGGGTAGATAGATTTCGAGTAGTAGAGCAAAAGTTGTTGGAGACTCAGAAATCCCAGATGTTTCCTTCTATGCGATATATGGGGCGCAAGGGCCCAAAATGATCTGAAGTTTCCCCCTTTTTCTTCGAGACACTTCGACCGATTGTGCTGAAATTTTTTGTGTAACAACTAGGAACAAATTGGGGCGTATACTTTTTTTTTCTTTGAAAAATATTGTTTTCTTCGCTTGGGAGATCCAAAATACTGGAAGCCCTATCAAAAAAACATGTTTTTTTTAACTGGAGCAAATTTAGTAAGGTCTGCCAAAAGTCACAATAACATTATTTTAAGAAAAAGAAAAACATATATACCCCAATTTGATCCTAGATGTTACACAAAAAAACGTCAGGCCAATCGGTCGAAGCGTCTAGCAGAAAAAGGGGGAAAACTTCAATTTTTCTCTAAAAACATTGATTTCGAGAAAAACACGAAACAACGTAATACGCCATTTTTTCGATATTTTTGTGGTTTTTTATTTTTGCATGCATAGCTATCAATTAATACACTTGCAAAGTGACTAGGATGATGCATCCCTGATCCATATAACACATTTTGATGATGAAATGACTATAATAATATTGCTCATTTACTACAAGAAAGCGCTGTAAAATGTGATCTTTTTTGTATATGGAATCTCCAAAGTCGATTTTTTTAAGGACTTAAATAACAATGAAAACTTTTCGTTCATATGCCATTCGATAGAGGACACTTAAGTATATTTTTAGATACAAAAAAATCGAAATCGAAAAAAGTGAATTTTTGGGGTCGGGAAAGGCGGGGTGTCCTTAACGAATTCTGGTGTAGAGAAAATGTGAAGTGTGTGAATGACGAGCATTTTTGTCAGTCCTCGCTTATACTGTCGATTCTGGTTCGAGTTCCACAGCATATATAAGTTTGTGTGGGTTGGTTTCTTGTAAAGTGTCGTTAGTAATTGATGATCTTTTCGAATGACGAGAATATCAAGAAACGCAAGACTGTCGTTCTTTTCCTACTGGACAACGAGTTTCAGATGTGTATGCCATTTATTGATTTCTGACTGGAAGTAAAGGATTTCATTACGCGAGATAATGAATATACAGAAGACGTCATTTACATATCTTAGGCACACGGTTGATTTGCTTGACGATATATGATTCAGATTTTCTTCCATTCGTATCATGACTAAGTTCGCTAGAATGGGTGCCAATGGCGAGCCTATGGTAACTCCATCATTCCGTATGTAAATGTCATTCGGAAACCGAAAACGAGCATTGCAGACGGCACATTCGAGAAGAGTCTTTATTTGATCTCTACTTAGTGAAGTATTTGCGGCTTTCTTCGATTGAAACATCAAGTCTAGAGCAGAGATGTGGGGTGTGGCTGTGAATAGAGAGAAGATCCACATAAAGCGATAACATCAACATCAAAACTACGCTCCATTGATCACACTTTCATCATCAACAGAGAAAGATTAATATCAGATCTGATGCGAAAAAAAACTTTCCCTTCCTCAATCTCGACTGTCTCGGCGCCCTCTCACCGCCCCCAATCTTGGCATCCTCGCGCGGAACCTGCTTCAAAACTTTACTTTACGGTTAAAATAAAAGTCAATTTTTTCACAATTTTTCTTTTGTAAAAACATAATTTTTCATAAAAAACGAAATGTCTTTAAAAAAAAGTGATATTTCTTGTGAACAAGTGATCTTATAAAAAATATAATTTTTGTAATGAAAGATATACTATTTTTTTTGACAAAAAAAACTTGTGGAAAAATCTACTTTAACTTTAACTTAGCATACTTTAACAAAGTAGTTTTAAAGTTAAAGTGCCATCGTAGTTTTGATGTCTTCAAGGTATAAGAGAAGGGGGCGCAAAATCGACGAATTAGGAGACCGATTGAAAGACTTTTTCAGATTCAACCAGATTTTGTAGATCTCAGTGATGTTGTTAGAATTAATGAATAAAAAATACATAAAACGCTGGAAATTTACTTGGCAAAAAGATGAATTTCGCGAGACTGAGATGTGAGCCGCTGTCTCAGTAGGATACCCCTGATAAATTTATACGAAATATTTCTTTTTTTTAAATCTAATTCTAACAGTCTACACCTTGCAAACTTTGTGATACTTTGTTTAACAAAACAGAGTGTCATTGTGCCCTTTGATGACGAATATAAAATGTCATATGACATTTTGTTTCAGAATAAAAGATGGAAAAAATACATGGTTCAATCAAAGTAGATTTGTATTGCACTTTGATAATCTGCTATGGGGTCATTTTTATAAGTCAACCATATTTTTGTGTTTGATAATAATAGTAATAGCATCAGTTACAAAAGAAGAAAGTTCTTAAAGGTCAAGTTTTATTTCGTCATTGTTTTTTTATTCATCTACTGTTTATAAATTATTTTTGATAGAGGTCGATAAATGAAGATCGAATTTAAAATAATTAGTTTTTTATAAATTGATATCAATGAAGAAAAATCTAGCATTTGTATTTCATT